GAGATTGGGGGCAACAATACTTGTGGAAGGGATACTTGTGGCAATCAATCCAGTGACTTGCATACCCGAGGAGAATCTGGTTAGAGCTTCAAACTTCAAAGATTATTGCAACTATCCGTGGGGGAATATAGCTTATGATTTTCTATGCAAGGAAATCAAGGGTTTTAACATTAAAACGTTGCAGAAGGAACATTATGGGATTTGTGGATTCATAAATGCAGTTCATCTATGGGCGCTGTCTTCTGTGGATGAGCTAGAGAAATACTACTTTGGAGTTAAGGATCCGGAAACAGAGTATTCTTTGTGTTTGCATTGGATAGAAACCAAATCGCTTACTATGGAAGAAGTGATCAGATTTGACACTAATTAAAAGGTAACGATATATAAGGCCTTATAAAACAAAAGTGTTTTTTTGCAGTATTACTATTTTTTTTCTATGGATTGTTTAATCATGCAAATACTATTTTCAGGTTGATGTAAAATGTATCATTGGAGATCCAGAATTGCATGGCAATTTGGTTGAAGAAGTTGTTGATAATGAACTTGGAAGAGTGTTAGATCTTGTGAAGAGAGGATACCGTCTGAAGAAACAAGATTGGGTTAATGGGAGTGTCAACATTGATGTTGCCGAGGCAGAAATGGAACAAAGAAACCCTGCACCTGGGATTGATGCTAGTGATAAAGAAAAGATTGACTTCCTTGCTAAGAAGGTAGTGATTCTTCAAGACAAAGTGAAGCATCTCGAAACTATTTTGAAGTTTGGCCAAGAAACTGCAAATGGACAGAATGATCAGCCAAAATTTAGTGATGCATAAGTTTTACAATATTTTGTGGATGCCCTTAGACAGGTTCTCTTGTTTTGATATTTTTATAAAGCTTTTCCTTTTATTAATTTTTAAATTGCTAAGATAATTTTTGCCTTGAAAATATTAGGAAAAGAGGAAAGGTGAAAAACGTCCGGAGGAGGAGGAGGAGGAGGAGGAGGAGGTACATGAAAATGAAGATAAAGAGCCCGACCAATGTATAGAGACAAGAGGTGGACGAGGAAAAACGGTAAACAACTCTGTTTATAATGGTTTATAAATATGTTCTTTTTACATTCAGATATCATTTCTTATTTTCTTAAATTGTTATTCTTATGAAGAGAGATGATGCTAGCTCCTCTAGATCAAAGAAACAAAAGAATAATAATTATTTGGAAGAAAATGCTTAAAGCTTGGAGAACACAGTGAAGATGATCATAACTGGTGAATATGTCTCCAAACAACCACTATCAAAGATTGATCAAGAGAAAATACTGAAAGTTTTGGACTTCGTTAAGTCTAATTTGTAAGTTTTATCTCTAGAAACCTATTTTGATAATTTTACAATCTTATACTTTTGTTTTTCATCGTAGGAACAAAGATAAGTACAGTTATGGAGGGAGGAACGCATAATTTTATTTGAAGCTGATGATACCGAGAGAATCTTGGCCAAAAGATGGTTACGGCTGGCTGCTTGACTCCGTAAGTTTTTGCTTGTAATTTGTTTAGCTAAGTATTTAATTCAATAATGATTATTAAATTTTTATGTCACAGCACATGGCGTCAGTAATGCTTATGTTTCACAGACGTTCAATGCAATCACAATCTCCATATTCTTCTACTCGAATTGCATTTTTGGACCGTTGGTTTGTGAAAAAATGGGTCAACGACTACAAAAATTATGATAAGAAGACATTTGAGTGGCCAGAAGATTATATTAAGGTCTTTAATGGAGAATATCCTGCAAAATTTATCACTCATAAAAAGTGGCTTGTAGATGTTGACTCTCTCTTCCTCTGCCACCACGTAAACGGCAATCACTGGATTGCTCTACACATTGATTTACATAAAAAGGTAATAAATGTGTATGATAGCATTCCAACTATTTTGACTGAAGCACAGATGCGTGAGGAGTGCAGGCCATTCATGAAAATGGTTCCGGCATTACTTAACAAAATGGTGGATCCTATAATGAGTACTAAGCAGTTCACTTACTTGAGGCATAAGAAGATTCCCAAGAATGAGAACCCAAGAGATTGCGGTGTGTACACTCTGAAATACATTGAATGCCTAGCTCAAGGGAAGAAAGTTGATGGCTTCAGTGATGAGACTATACCAGCACTGCGACTGAAGATGGGTGCAGAGATTTATGAGGAGGTGGGTATGGATGATTTTGAAAATTAACTTGTAGTCCTGTTTTAACTTGTTTTTAGTGTTGTTATTGTTGACAATGAACTTATTTTGTGATGTCATTTGTTGTTGTTGAATCGGATAAGGAAATATTTTCTGTTTTGTACGTTAATCAATTATGATAAGTGAAAATGAATCATAACACTAGTTCTTTGATATGGCAACATACTTAGTTTTCATTCATACTGGTAAGCTAAAAAGATATCAATAATTTGAACAATTTATAATGGTTTATAAACTTATAAACCGTTATAAAATCAGGGATACAAGATTTTAAGTGAAAATGAATCATATATCTGATTTATAAATGCATATAATAAGTCATAAAAAGATATAGAACTATTAAACAAGAACATGATTTAGGATTGAGAAAGAAAAAATGTCGAATTCGAACAATTTATAAGCTTTTATAAACTTATAACCCCTTATAAAATTAAGGGATAAAATATTTTGAATGAAAATGAATCATAAATCTGTATTAAGGTATGTAAACACTCATAGAAAAAATTATTTATACAGTACTACTCTTATTATTTAATAAACAATGATTTCAGATTTAGAAAATGACGAATTTGAAATATTTATAAGTGTTTATAAACTTATAACCCCTTATAAAGTCACGGATAAAATAAAAATGAATCACAAATCTGTGTATTAGAAAAGCATGTAAAGACTCATAACACAAGTATTTCAAGTACTCTTATTATCAAATTGGCACTACGCAACTACTCTTGTTGTGTCCTTTCTGCCCACATCTACTACATTTGTAAGATGTTGATTTGGATGTTGACGGATATTTGCCATGTTCCCACGAACTTGGAATCCTCTTTTTTTTCCTCCTGCCACTAGGATAGCGANATCAAATTGGCACTACGCAACTACTCTTGTTGTGTCCTTTCTGCCCACATCTACTACATTTGTAAGATGTTGATTTGGATGTTGACGGATATTTGCCATGTTCCCACGAACTTGGAATCCTCTTTTTTTTCCTCCTGCCACTAGGATAGCGAGTAGATGGAGGACGGCAAACCATAGAAGCTATATGAGAAGGAATATCTCAATATGCTTTATCACCAACTGGATAAATACTCTCTGAATATGCTAGTATGAACCTAATAATAAAATTAAAAGAATATATAAAAGTGTTATAAACCCTTATAATTTCGATAAGTTTTATAAACAGTGAATGAGAAAAACGAACCTTTCATTTGAGAAGAACTCATCCACATAGTCATTTTCATGCTTGTTTCCAGATTTGACAGCGGCAATAGCATGAGCGCACAGATACTTCTCAACGTCAAACTGAAAGCAAGAACAATGCTTTGTCTGGAAATTTACAACCTGATCCCTTGAATCACCTTTAACTTCGAATTCAGAATCATTAATTTTAAAGACTTCAAGCCAACATGACTTTTTATCATATAACTTTTCATCTTCTTTCCAACTTCAAAAGTGACAGGATGGATATGACGAATTCCTTGCTCACGCCGTTCAGTGAACCACCTAGTCATAATTACCCTAATAGAGTCAAAAAGGCAGACTATCGGATACTCACGATTAACTTTCAGCAAAGCATTAATGGATTCAGCCAAGTTTGATGTCATGATGTTGTAACGATTAGCAGAAGAATATGCTCGTCACCACTTCTTGAAGTCTGCTTTACGAAGATAGTCTGCTACTTCAGGGTCTGCTTGCTCAATCTCATTAAAATAATAATGATAATCCTCCTTCATGTATGCATAAGCCGCCTCAACAATCAATGGGGTGAGAGTTGAAATCTTGAACTTGTCGAGGACATATTTTTCAAAATGGAAAATGCAGATTCCGTGATGAGCAAGGGGATAGTGTTGTAAAAGAGCACTTTCAATAGATTGAGCACGATCAGAAACAAATACCAAGTCATCTTCATCAGGAATGATTGATTTTAAACACATCAAAAACCAACTCCATGAGGCTTCATTCTCAGAATCAACTACAACAAAAGCTATAGGATATAAATGAAAATTACCATCTTGTGCAGTGGCAGCAAGTAGAGTCCCTTTATATTTTGATTTCAGATGGGCACCATCAATGGAAATCACCTTCCTCATCAGATTAAAACCTCTGATAGATGGACCAAACAACAAAAAGGCATATTTGAATTTCCCAACAGAATCAACTTCGATAAAAGTCACAGAACGTGGATTCTTATCTTTTAACATGTGAAACCAGCTGGGCAAAGCTTCATAACTGTCATCAGGAGTACCCCTAGCTAGATCTTGGGCATTCTCTTGACACCTCCAAGCCTTTGAATATGAAATCATAACACAATGATCTTTTCTAGCCTTCTCAATAATCTGTTTTGATTTCAGCCCAATTTTTCCTCCTTCATAATGATTGCTGACCATACTTCCCAACAGTTTCGCAGTAGCTTGACGATGTTTAACACTTCTCAGAGAAGTGTCACATGTATGTTTAGATACATAATGACGCACAACAAACATCTGAGATCCTTTCACTGATTTTGCACGAAAACTCCAGCTACATTTTTCTTCCACACAAGTAAGCATATAACGTTTCTTGTCTGAATATTCTGTGCGGAACTCAAAGCTTTGACTAACTGCAAGCGACTTCAACTTCGTGCTCATTTCCTTTTTGTCCTTAAAAAACTTCCCGCAGAACAATTCATCAGTGTCATCACATTGATTTGTAGCACAAGTTGGAGATGAGATCTCTGAAAAAGAATGTGACTCTTCTCCCAAATTTTGTTGACCGCGTCTGCTAGAAAAAGATGATAATTTGGACCTTTCAGATCCATCTACAGCAAGACCCATCAAGTTCAATCCTCTCTAAAGAAAAAAAAGAGTTAAAAATGGAATTTATAACTGATTATAAGATATTGATTATACTCTGAAAGTTATATGTACCTTATTACTAATAAAACCAGTTGAAGGAGATACATAATGATTATGTCGTATTCCTGATAATTCACCAACTCTCTGAATATTGTTCCATTCAGTCTCAGGGAGAAATTGTGTTCCACGCTACAAAATTAGATAGAGATCTTCTTTCTTAAACAATTTATAATATCTTATAATTATGAGTATTAAGATTAAACAGAGTTGAAAAGTACCTCAAATGCACTACTACTTCGAGCAATAGGCGAATTGCGATTACTGGACAATTCATCACGTGTCTGAGTCAGGTTTGGCATAATCAATGGTGATAGTTGTGTTCCTCCAGCATTTGGCAAATCATGGGTAATTAAAACTTCATTTCGTGTTTCCTTCTGAAAACATAAAAACATAAAGCTAGTAAATGAATCTTGTAAAATAGTTTTATAAAGCCTTCTAAATATGATTATGTTGTATTCCGGATAATTCATCAACTCTCTGATAATTGTTACATTCAGTCTCAAGGAGAAAATTGTGTTCCTCGCTACAAAATTAGATAGAGATCTACTTTCTTAAACAATTTATAATACCTTATAAGTATGAGTATTAAGATAAAACAGTGTTGAAAGTACCTCAAATGCACTACTACTTCGAGCAATAGGCAAATTGCGATTACTGGACAATTCATCACGTGCCTGAGTCAGGTTTGGCATAATCAATGGTGATAGTTGTGTTCCTCCAGCATTTGGCAAATCATGGGTAATTAAAACTTCATTCCGTGTTTCCTTCTGAAACATAAAAACATAAAAGTTAGTAAATGAATCTTGTAAAATAGTTTTATAAAGCCTTCTAAATATGTGTACTTGCCTTTACAGTTAAACATAGATGAAGATCTCCATTTTGTTGTAGTTTATTCAGATACGTCAAAACATGTCGATCGTTCCTGATAAACACTGGAGGAATATCTCTACTTCCAAAATTAACTTTTGAAAGAGATGCATAACTAAGCTTCACATTGTTGGGTCAATTTCGAAATCTTCTAGCAAATAACCAACTAAATCATTGAACCTAATGTCTTTAGGAATCATACTAATGCAAGATCCTATTTCATCGTCGGTTATGAAATCCCAGTGATTTCCATTTACGAGTTTCCATTCTCCGCAAACAGCACAAATTTCAATCATAGTACCCTGAAAACATAAAAAATTCGTGAATGAGTAACACGTGGCAAGAACAAGCAATGTAAATAACTAAAGCTTTCAATCAAGTAATAAAGATGGATCCATGGGTAAAGATGATTGATATGGGTTGATCAAGCTTCATTCTAGGATGTTCAGGCAACAAAATCAACAAGCCTATAGGTCTAGAACTCATACAAGTAGATTAATTCATTGTCATGATAATAATCCCTTTGTAATCAAGTACTAAGCATCAAATGTCTTTGGCCTAATACTATCAAACAAGCAATAAGCTTAAGTGTAATAACCATCTAGCAATTTAAGCATCAAATGTCTTTGGCTTATCAAGCTAGAGCAATACTAAGTTCAGTCAAACATTTTAACAGACACCTTGTGGGCATGAAAAAACTTAGGTTCTAAATCAACGTGATCAAAGCTAATCTAGCATTAATATCACTTAGCAAGCATATATCTATGTTAATCTAACAAGAAACAACCTAAGTATCCACTAAATCACCCTAATCCATCTAACTCATGGATCACAAAGTAGTCTACTCACTAATCACCATGTTTAACCTTAAACCCATGATGGATTCAAGACTAATCATGTTAAGAAGATGAGATAGACTCAAATTACTCAAAGAAAAGAAATTTAGATTACTAAAGATTCAAGCTTTCTCGAAAATAGGTTTTTGGTTCTTAGAGAAAAAAACAAGCTTATTCCCAACTTTGGATCACAAGGTATTTTGTACACATCCCAGAAAATCTAATGGTTCCCAATAAAAGGACTAAAATTCCCTTTAAAAACACTTAAAATCGACCACAAGAAAACACGCCCCGTGGTTGAGCTTGGACGATGACCCCGGGTGAGCCACCCCGCGTAGCCCTTCGTCTTGGTTCTCCTTTCGGCCGAACGGGTAGAACACCCCGCGTGACTGACCCCGCGTAGCCTTGTCCTTGGTTCTTCAGCCGGCCGAGCGGGTGCACGATCCTGAGTGGACTAACCTCGGGTGGGCTTTGATATGCCTTTAGTAAGTCGATCTTAACTCCTCCAATACAGCTCCAAATGACTTGAATTCACTTCCATTAAAAATATAACTTAATTTTCCACGTCTTCCCAAAAGATGAGTTTCAAAAGATATCTTTAAGGTCTCCATACATGTTCATATTTCATCCTTTTGCACCAAAAATGATCTCAAACACCTGCATGAACTCCATAGCGACTCATGTATGCAAAATGCAACATAAATATTACTAAGACCTAAGCTATATGATCAAAATATACAAGAAGGGATGATTAAAAATTGTAAATATGCAAGACATCAGAGGTGTTACAAATATAACCGATATCTGAAAGTTCCGACCCGAACCCGAACGCTCAGGCCAAATAGTAAGACTTTAACACTTTCAAGATTTACCTAAATGGATTGTCTGGAGGATATGGAAATTCAGAAATATTTTGATATTCTAAATTAAAATTATACATTGGAAGACTATTTTAGAGTATGCTAAGATGATGCAAAGCAATAGAAGGATATAGAGGTCATGGACACTCCTCCAACGAGAAGAATAAATACACCTCAACAAATAGCTGCACACAAGATTTGGACGAAACCGCCCATAGATTGGATAAAGTGTAACACTGATGGTTCTTTCATCAGTGAAAGATTGGAGGGATAATACATGATACTTTATAGGAGCAGAACAACCACATGGAAGGTTCAAAATTCTTTGGAAAGTGAAATGCAGGCAATGCAACATTGTTGGATAAGTTTTTTTTGAAAGATTATCATAGAAATGGACTGCAAGAAAGCTATTGAAATGATCAACAATGGAAACTTACACTTTGGAACGTATATTTGGACCAGAGAAATTCGAAGGTGGTCACAAAAACTTAAAGATGTCAAATTCCAATGGACTAGAAGAGAAGCAAATAAAGTGGCACACAAACTTGTAACATTGAGGTTTCCTAAACATGTACTTTTTCTTTTTTTTTTTTTATGTTCCATATACGATAACTAGTCTTCTAGATGGGGATTATTAGAGATGGCAATCATGGATCTGGACCGCGGGCCTAACCCGTAAAGAACTGTCGCGGGATGGTATTGGGACGAGATTTTGCAAGCCCGCAAATTTGCGGGCCTCGCGGGGTGGGTCTTTGTGGGACTGGGTCTTTTGCGGGATGGGCCGAAACTAGTCCCACGGGATTACAAAGACCCGCATTCTTTTTCTTTATTTTTTTGTTTTACCTGATAAAACGAGAGAACGAGTGAAAAGAAGATGATTCATCTGACTTCCCCTGAGAATATGTAATGAGTTCGGGTGATGATGATGATTCGAGCTTCGGTGATAATGAGTTGAGCTCCAGTGATGACGACTACAGCTCCAGCGATGACGATTCGAGCTATAGTAGTGTTTTGATTTGGTTTCTTTTTTTTATTAAACCGGGATTGACATTTTTGATTTGGTGTTTCATTTTATTTAATTTTTGGATTCCGCAAGCTAAAACATTGGTTATGAACTTATGAGTTATAAGATAATGAAAAATATCTTATGCAATTATTTTTACTTTGTATGTTAATATGTTTTGGGTGTGATACAAATAATTAAAATTATTATTTTGAATATAAGAAAAGCAATGATTGATGAATTATGTCCAGTTGAATCGACGACTTGAACTATGTCCTAGAATGGCCTGAAGCGTTTTGGAGTGGCCTGAATCGTTCTACTGCGCGTATTATCACACGTCCCGTGGGCCTATAAGAAATACGGTACGGGATTGGGCAGCTGTTTTCGAGACCGCATCCCGCGCGGGACAGGCCCGTCGTATCCCGCTAGAAAACAAACCCGCATCGATTTGGGATGGGACGCGACAGGAGAGGCCAATTGCCATCTCTAGGGATTATGTTACGTCTTCTTATATATAATAATTAAAGTCAGGCACTAATTATAAAAGTTATAGGTTTAATTTAGATTATGTATACCATGTGCATGTGTTAGGGGTGGATTTACACATGGCTCATTGCAATTTTTTAATTTTTCTATTTTAGATTAGAGGCCAACTATTACCAAGAAACGACGATCTCTAAGCTGTGTGGGAACCGAAATTCGCGCTGTCGATTTCCGTTGAATTAGGAACGTAAGATAAACCCTAATTTTACATAGGTCCCGATTATCTGTTATACCACACGCCAATAAATCAAGAAGGATAAATAAAAAGATGATAATAAGAATATAAGTATGAATTCAAATTAAAAGAGAGCAAAAATAAGTCTTATTATGAATTCGCGTTTGAGCGTTACAATGAGTTAGGAGCCTTGGCTACAAGAGCTGACGGTGAGATCCTACTTCTAGCAACCTAAGACTGTGAAAACCCTAATTGAGACGCAGCTCGAATAACAAAAACGGAAAGTTGCCTAAATGCTCTAAGTGCTAAGTATTTTTCTCTGTGTCTCTATGTCTCTCGCCTTGAAATCCTTATATACTCCCTCTAAAGTCGATTTGCGCTTTCCACTTTTTCCCTTAAGCCGTCATAGCCCAAAAATAAAGATTTTTCATTTTTCCCGATCTTCATGCTTATCATCGGAACTTTAACATTTTTCCACGGAAACCTCACATTTATCTTCTCTTGCCGGCCAAGGATAAACCGTCATAGGATCTATGGTCTTATTAGTAAAAAACCGTAAGTGGGCTTCTAGTCGTGTTCTAGACCTCTTTGGGCCGTATTTCGACTCGAAACATTTTTACGGTTTCTTTACGATAAAAACAAGCTTTCTGCGGTTTTTATCGTAAAGTCTGAAGGATAACATCGATCGATAAGGAAAGAGTGGTAGTTCAAGTGTGATGTTCGGGAGATTTCATCAAAGACTCGGGTCTACGTTGATCTTTGGGATAGTTCGGTTGCTACGTAGCGACTAAGCTATACCTTGAGCTCGGTCGCTTCATAGCGACCAAACATATACATAACTCGACCGAGCATGTGCGTGCTCTGAGCTCGGTCGCTATGTAGGAGATGCGCTTGGCTTGAGCTAGGTCGTTACGTAGCGATTCGGTCCTTGTCCGTTTTTGTGTTTTTGTCTGTTGTTTGGATGTTTACTTTGTCGTTACCGTTTTTGATCCCATTAGTTAGCCCCCAGCCTGTTAGAATCGTAGACTGCTGAGGAGATTCTAGCGTGCGGTTTGGACAAGCTGGGCAAGATTGGTGAGTTTGGACGAAGTTAAGTATCCGAAAATCGATAGACAAAGAGTAACTTCTTATGCTTATAAATAGATGGAGTAAGCCTTCATCTTTACCACTTTCTCATTTCCTTAAGAGAAAATTTCTAGTGAGATAGAAGTTAAAAAGAGATTTCCTCCTTTCCTTTCTTCTTTTTTTTAACAGAACTTCTTAAAGTAGAAAAATTTCCTTTCTACTATTGTGTTTCATGTCTCGAAGGATTTTGGATGACGCCATGCCTTCCATTTTCAACCGCGAAAATGTTCGTACTCTTCGCGGCGAGATCATTCCGGAAGGTGAATTCGTGGCGGACCCAGTT